TTAGGGTTAGGGTTTGTGTTTTTTTATATTATAATCTTATAATATTTTTATATTGCCCAGTTATTCTAAAGAAGATCAAAAAATATCTTTAATAAATGGAACGATTTTCATGAATTCGAAACTTGGAAGCAATGAAGTACTGAAAATCACCTATTTATGGCTTATCAAAGCAAAACATGGAACAATATATTCATTCACAGAATTAGCAAAGACAATGATCACACAATAGATTCAGATAATAAGACAATCTATCAATTGTCAAATTTTGAAAACAGATGACAAGATTGGAGAACCCGGAATCATTGTAGAAATAGATGAGTCACGATTCTACAAAAAGAAGGATGGAACAGCCGTATAGATATTCGGAGGAGTAGAAAGAACTCCAGAAAAGAAATTATTTACAACAATCGTAAAAGATAGAACACAAAACACCTTGATATACTATATTTGGAAATATATACACCCAAAATCGATTATATATTCAGATATCTGGAAAGGATATCAGAACATTTATAGAAAACTAGGAATGGAACATCATGCTATTAATCATAGTAAAGGAATAACTGAAACAGATTATGATCCTGAAAAGGATTGATTAAAATCATGCACACAAATGGCATAGAAGTACACTGGCACGTATTCAAAGATACCATATCACCAAGAAATAGAGATAAGAAAAATCTACAACCATGCCTAAATGAGTTAATTTGGAGAAGACAAAATAAAGACAAAAACATTTGGAACATGCTCCTGGAATGTTTACATGATACAGATTATATAAATGATCTACAATCACTAAGTCATAAGAGTAACAGTGATGATGCAGAATAAAAATTTATTGTTGATTAATGATAATCCAAGATAAGAAACTTCTATAAAAGAAACTTTATTCAAATGATCAAAAGGATATCCAAAACATAACAGATAAATCTTAAGAAACCCTGAAAACAAACTTCAACAAAAAACCCTAAAACACTGAAATGGAATCTAAGACTTGCGAAATTTGCCAACTAACTGGACTCCAAAACAAATGGCTAGAACATTTGAAAGAAAGACATCCTGACCAAACCGAATTGATTGAATTCGAGGAATGGAAATTAAAGAAAAATCAAAAGATCAATGAATGTCAAAGGCAAGAAAATCAAAAATTCGTTATCAAGAAAATTCCTAACATCAAACAACAATCTCAAAGAAACAATAAAGAAAAAGGAAAAAAAACTTTTGCATCAGTCATTAAAGGAATCAAAGATCAAGAACAGGGACAAGACCCTCAATTATTCTGCCTTGAATGTGAAATTTTAGTCGAAAAAGACTATGAATATCCTAAATTCGAAGAACTAAAAAAGAAAGTTCATTTTGAAAAATGAAATCAATGCCAAAAATGCGGAGCTTTAACTAACGGGAATTATAATTGTCAAAAGAGATTTCCATTAAGTCAATTAAGAAGACCAAAACCAATTCTTAAAGGAAACTTTTTTGATAAAAAAGAATATGAGAAAAATAAATCTTGCTTCATTTGTAAAATGTGTAACCAACAAGGCCACATTAATAGAAAGTGTCCTCAAAATGAATGTTGGAAATGCAAACAACTAGGACATCAAGCATGAGACTGTACTAACAAAACAATTTTAGTCAATAGAAACTTAAAAACTATAAATGAAGAAAATAAAGAATTCCAAAGGACACAAACTATAATTAAAAAAACTACCTATGACCCAAAAGAAGAAAGCTCAAAGGATATCCAACCAGAAATGCGATCAGTAACTCCAAATGAAACTTTAGAAGAAATAGAAGAAATAGTATATAACGAACAAGGAAAATTTATCGATCCAGATAAACTAATAACCAAACTTCTCAAAGAAAATGAAACCTTACAATGCAGATGCAGCAAAGAAAAAGTTAGAAAGATTGAGAAAAATATCTATCACTGTTGCAATGAAGATTGTTATAATATTATTACCAAGGATATATTTTTGTTATCAGAAGGAACATACATTAATCCATTGGACTACCATACGCAACAACTTAAAGATCATATTGTCTGTAAAAGATATTACCAAGAATATATGGAACATCTGTCAATAGATGATATACGGGCAGTACAATATAAAAAAACTAAACTGGGAAAAACCAACTTTAAGAAATGTACCATCTGTTCAAAAGAAAATTAGAAGAGACATATGACAAACGATTATACTAACAATTACTTTTGTAACAAAGAAGAAAAAGTAGCATTCGAAATGTTTTATTGTCATAGATACTCTACAAAAACAGTAGTAACAAAGAGAATTCAAGAATATACTAGA